TTTGATTAATAAATAGTTAATAACCAAAAAACTAACCTGTCATGCAGTATCTATATATGACCTTCCATCCGTACCATTAAAATAATCATAACTTCGAGTTTGAGTATTCTGCATAATATTAAAGATTGTTACTAARTGATAAGGGTCGGGTTTTGTTGAGTTTTCCGTCATTTATTAAATTATCAAATCATTTTTATTATTAACGAACGTACTCGTAGATATATTATCTCTTTTTCACCAGCCGAATTTAATTGTTGCCTATCTTACGATAATGCTGAATTTTTCAAGTCATAGTTATATGGATACTGATATTCGAGCAACTTATTGGCCGAATGTCCTATAGCTATTCCAGTAGAGTGTCTATCATATATTTAAAATAAACCACACCTAGCTGCATTTGTTCACATAGTGACAAAATTTAAAAGGACACGCATGAATAATAATCCTAGTTATTGCAATCATAATCCAGAATGGCTAATCACAGAAGAAAAAATAATAAAGGTTTCAGGATATCTAAAACAATTGTAAGTATATCCAACGCCTATGGCTACCACATTTAATAGAAACAAATCATAATAATTGTATGTACAAAAACTGTATAGGTACATAGTGCCACTACAATATAGAGATATTTTATGCTGCTAGGGCCTAGGAGTATTGAGACGGTTACCCAGCAAATAATAGAAATAGTGGCCACCATAGATCGAAATGTATCGTGATATAGTAATAGATACTTAGATACTAATATTAATGTAAAATATTGTGCGTTGCATTATTTCGTCGTTTAGGCATCTATTAAAATAATAATATGGATCAAATCGTATTACACGCATAAATATAGGTACAATGTAAATGCAATACAATACCAAACTCACTTGGCCTGATAAAGATTTGACATCACCGTAAATCGTAGATCACCTCCTCGTGATTACCTGTTTTGTTGCTTGACATTAAATCCACAACRGTCATTTACCTCATCTCACCATGTGTATGCTATTGATATATATAACTAAAATGCAATACAATTATAATAGTGAATGCTRAATGACTTTCGGTTATATTTAATTATGCACACGACTGATGTTTCTTGATATGTGTTGTTGCGTGTGTATAGACCGACTTGACAGTGGACCAGCAGCTACAGCAGAGGGGCACTGTCGGACCAGTTTTCGGCAAACCAACCCCGACGGTGGCGCCATCGCAACAGCAGCAGATTATCGCCGCCACACGGTTCTGACAGACAGATTTTGAGCCGATTCCCGAGGACGATTTGGTCATGTTGTGAACTCGCTCCCGGAYGACCCTCAACACGAGACAACAGCGACCACACAACTGCAATTCACCATATACTAAATCTCTATGAGCTTATAGTATATGGACTGCGGGCTTTCGGCTAATACGCCATGTGTATTTTAAAAAAAATGCTTAGGGGATGATCGAAAAAAAAGTGTTTTTATTTTGTTCTCAAATTGTTTAATATGTCTTCTAATATTGTTGTTTTATTTATATTCCCGTCTCGCACGCCGCTGTAGGTCGTAATCACCATTCCAATCGTTGTGATATACCGTGATAAATAGTGTACCTAACTACTTCTACCTAACTTGAATTACACCTAACCCTGCTTGAGTACCATTACACGACGCGATCGACAACCAATTTTCCGAGAAAGTAAATCGCAATCGATGTTCACCCACTTGTCTCTAGTTGTAAGAAAAGAATATCAAAGTATAAACTCTTGACGCCCTCCCCTAACTCTTCACTCACGCCAGGAATGAAAAACGTCATGTCGTGATGCCGGCGGTAGATCCATATCTACATACCATCGTTATACAATTTTTGGCGACGATAATTAATCACGAAAAACCATCTCAAAGTATAATAAATCCCGAAACTATATACGGGACATCTGTTTCGTCACTCCCAAAAACTCTTACGGGCACACTCAAAACATCATTATAAAAGTTTTGCCATTGTAATATAATATATTATATTTCGTACGCGTACCTACGCTAGAAGTAGATTAACGACGGTTAATTTTTTTTTTACGAACAAAAAACAAACGTAAAATGTCCACCCAATGTCGTCGAAATTTATCAACTTAATGGTTTTTATTATTATTTTTATTTTCCTCTTTGGTATAGGTATCCGCATTCTTATGATAGGCCCTCCGATTCGTCTCCACCGAACGCATCAAGTATAATAGACGTATAAATATAATTTCGTCTTCCGATTGTTTGCAAGTTATTCTCACAAATCTCACCTTCACTGAACTTGATCCTACATTCGCATTGACACCTAACTCGGCAATAAATCCTCTTATTACACTCGTGCTGATATGTGATACCAGTGAGTTTTTTATTTATTTTATGGAGTGCCAAATACACAGTGGTGGAGTTTTTTTTTCATATATTAATGAGACAATCCATAATACGTATATCTCAATATCCAAATGGAACATCWGATTAATTTTCGTTGACACTTATCAGTGTGTGCCCATATTTACCTACCCAGTACCCATACCCTACCCAACCTGCCTAACTCATTCAATTATTTAGTATTTCTATAGTAAAGTTAATGTATTGCAATACATTGTATTATATTATTAACAATAAGTGTCTACCATGAATGTTGAAAAATATTAATTGTTCCTCATCGTTCGATGCTCAAGAGTTACTCAATCGACGTAAATGGACACGATGTTTTAAAATATGTGTTGTTTATGAAATTGAGAAAAAAAAATTTTTAAGTGTTAACTGAATGAATTAGGGATTGTAAATATTATGTTGTAAATTAAAACAGCTTATGGCCACAATGTTAACTCAAAAACAATGTCTTTATAATATTGAACCATTTTAATCAAATTATTATTATTAAATATTATTATAATACCTATTATTATGTTTGACTTGTGTTACCTCTGAGTTAATTTTCGTTAAGTTTAAATGTAAAAAAAAACTTATTAAATGTTACTGCATACTAGTATAATACACTTTAACATACTGTGCTTTTGTCGTTCTTAAATAATATATTTATTAAAATATGTCTATTATATTGATACAACTTATAATGTAAATGTATATCTTCTTATTTGAAAATAGCTAAATATGTGTAACAAAATATGAATTACGATCAAAGATTCGTGGAAATTCCAAAAAGTATATTTTAATAGATTATTTTAGTTAAGAGGATAAAAGTAAAAAGTATATCATTTAATAGGTAATTGACGTCAGGCACTCGAATCTGGAAATGTATTACTGCATGCACAACTTGAAATGTAATATAAATTTCATTCACTCATTTACGGATTTAAAAATTTAGAATAACTATTAGGTAGGTAACTGATTTATTGGTAAAAAATGGTTTCTCAAATGAAGACTAGGAATGTACTGGAATTTTCAAGTGAACGATAATAATCAAGTTGGTACCAGTTGGCTAATAATATGAAGTTAATTATTTTATTTTTTCTGTATATAAATTAGTATTATAATATTATTAATATCATTATGTTATCTATGTATTTAAATACATTTTTCTAATTTATGTTAATTTATAAAAGAACTATGGTTTTCTTGTTACAATATTTTTAATTGCAATATATTGTTYAGACTTCTATTATACCTACTCATAGAAAAAAATTTCTGTGGGCTCATGACTACACCATAATCCGTTTAATACTTTTACGGATTGCTTAGTTAGAATAGGTACCAATTATTTCAAAATTCCCTAAAATGTTTCCAACATAAACAATATTACTTATTTTATTGTTCATATKCTTAACATTATCAGTGGTCTTTCAGTTTTTAGTTGTGGTTTTAGATTATGTTTTTTCTTAAACGAAAACTGCCTAAAAAATGTATATTAACAGAAAAATCACTAAAATGAACGTAAAAGGTATTTCGACGATTCCTGCACAATATTCGATTACTCCCCAAAGTAATTACTTCTAAATTATTTTACAGTTCTAAAATGGTAGTTATCTGTTACATTACAGTAATACAGTATATAACAGTAGCTATTCTATAATTGTATGCTGACAAATAATGATTAATTTTTTTCTTACAGAATTACTCGATAAGTAATGCCATAATATCATGCATGTTGTACATTACACCTTTTAAATCTAAAACAAGTTTTAATTATAAATTTTCGCTATCTAGCTATACGGTTTATTACATTTATCGCAACATGTTTGGTAATAATATTGCGGTATATTATATTGTAAGGTATTTATATGTGTTGTAAATATAATATATTTAAGATAGTGTTATTGCAAGTCAAAGTTTATAAAATGTCCTTAATTAAAATACTATTACATAATTTCAAAAATAAATATAAATAAAAYGTGAAATTAGTCCAAATACATTATAATTAATATTATATATTATTGTGATTTGTGTAGATGTTTATAAATGTAAGTTATATACTTCATTGTATTTTAAATGTTTTGTCAGTATATTTTATTATTTAAAAAAAGATACATAGTTAGCACCTAATCATTATTGTTTTGTTATTATTTTTAATATTTATTTTATTTTATTTTATTTTATTATAATTATTATTACACAATAAGAGTTTATTATTTTTTAATTTAATTTAGTATGTAATTAGGTTCTATTAGAATACTAGCTAATATACACTAGTTTCAATAATAATTTAWAACAATGTGTTTATTTTATTTAAACTCATGTTTGATAATAAACTTTGATTGACGTTATTTGMACATGTTATTTGGAAAACAATTAACACTAAAATATATCATCTGCGAGCATAAATTAACTGGRGCAGTAATGTCGACACAGATTCCCAACTTTATCGCTGTCAGTCAAAGAAAAAATAATAGCAAAAATACTGCAGTGGTATAATGGGCAGGGAATGAAAAAAACTAAAGAATGTATAATAATATTATACTTCCATGATAAATATAAATTAAAAGGGCTACAGTCCACGATAGTCGTTTTAATGACTAATAAGCATTATGAATTTAAAATGTTTTTTATTTCTATTCAATAAAATAAGACATTCCTAATTTACAGCTATCTTTATCTATGGATAATATAGAACAATATTAGTTTGAGGCTATATATWGCTTATATACCTATGGCTTTAAAATAAAATAATAATGATAAATATAAATATACGAAAAGATGTTTATACAGATGACTAAACTAATTTTTTTTTCTTTGTATGGTGCTATGTCCGGGAATTTCTATTGGGGCACCCGTAGGTTTCTTCCATGCCCCGGAGTGGGGGATGGCGGCACTTGTTCTCCGGACACCGTGACTTGCCCGGAGAAAAATGTCGAAAATTCGAGGATCGAACCCGGTCCGGCTGAGCCATATCCCACGCATTAGACCGCTCGGCCACCTCGTCCCCAGTAAACTAAATAATAATATGGAATGATTCAATTAACTAAATGAAAAATTGTATAACAACATAAAACGTATACAGATTACAGACTGAAGGTTAAATGTAACTAATGTTTGCTTTTCATCAAATCATCAAAAAAGCTAGAGAAGAGCTGAAAGTGGCACTCTAAGAAGTATAATTAAAGCACAACTTCATGCCAAAATACTTGAGAATAAAGTTGGACCATACGCTCACATTTAAAGAACACCTTGACAAAACTGAAAAGAAAGTACGATCCCGAAATCAATCTTATTCAAAAACATGCCGGTACAGGGTGGGGTGTTGATGATAAAACACTACGGACAGCAGCACTGGCGTTAACATATATAGTGCAGCAAAATACGGTGCCCAAGTGTGGTGCAATAATGCACACTTAAGGAAWGTCGATACACAATTGCATATTTGCATAACGTAATGAGAGTGATTAGCGGCATGGYGAAGTTCAATCAGATGCAGTGGCTACTAGTTTTAAGCAATATAGCCCCACCAGACCTACCAAGAAAGCATAAAGTTATTAATGTTATCAAGAAAGCCAAAGATTGCAGAAATTCACTGCTAGCCGAAAGATTAGAAGATATACCAACGTCCAACACTCAGACTAAAATCAAGGAACCACCTTAGTAGACAGCTAAATACCTAATAAGATCAGAATTTGAAACTAAAAAATGCTGGTGCGATGAATGGACTAATTATACTATACCAATCAAATACAAAAGCCTGGTGCTGGACACCAATCAAAGAGTTATGGGTATGGAACTGCCTAGACAAGAGTGGCCTGTACTAAATCATCTTCGAACAGGCCATGGTCGTTGCACTGATATGGTGTTTTAATGGTGACTCCAAATCAGCCCAGCATGAGATTGTGGCAACGATAAGTAAACAATAAATCAAATTATAAAGGAATGTCAATTAAGGAAATTCAACCAGAGTATCGAAAGAATCCACACCATAACGCCRGAAGCAATAAAGTGGATAAGGGAACTTAACGTACACCTGTAAACTATTCATACTTCATTATGTTTTATTATATTATTTTATGTTATACATTTTTATAACCTATTTAATCTCAATTTAGTTTAATTTCTGTTTTATGTTTTACGTTTTATATTTTATGTTATTGTTTAATTTTTTTTTTTTTTTTTTTGTCATCAAAAATAATTATTTTTTCTGTCTTGTTTATTTTTAAGCCATACGAATAAATAAATAAATAAGTATATACATAAGACATGTGTGCCATA